AAGTAAAAATTTTCACACCGCGGTTTTAAAACTTTACCCTACTTATACTATATACAATTATTTTAAGATATTCATTTAGAAAAGTGGATATTTGTTAACAAATAGCCATCCATTTATCTCAATTTTACGGCAACATCAGTATTATTTATCTATCGCCCCTTGAACGCGTCTTGAAAAATATGTTTGCAGAATAGGGTGAATAACTGATGCGACTACAATTGTTGGGACGTGATTACTTTATAAAAATAATATTATTCTAGATACATTTGTAAAATAATGGTATATTGTTATCAGAAATGCTAAAATATAAGAACTAAATCAAAATTATCAAAGCTAAGTAAATTTACTACTGAATTTATTTAATTTATGAAGTGAAAATGAAGAATTAGTCAACAAAATTATCGTTTCTATGATATCCTTATTGTTATCCAGATTACGTCATACCTTCGTTTTATTGTAACAAAATAGGTTTTATTTTATGTAATGATTTAAGAATCTATTCGACATGTGATGTTAATAAATTTTTATATTTATGGTTCAATTTTTCATTGTCTTTTAACATATTATATGTACTGTACAACTTACTATAATATACATCTTTACTAGTATATAACACATTAAAAATTGATTAACTTAGCAAACAAACAAAATCAGTTTATTGATGAGTTGATAACAACGATTTCATTTTACACATGACATCTCTTGTACCGTACCCCTAATAGGAGTCACACACGCGTACCTTCTATTTCTCATACATATTCAAATCCACTTAAGGACGATACGTCACTTAATTTCATATATTTTGACCTCTCTGTTCAGGAAAGTAAGAACTATGTCGAGTTTTGTGAATGATACTTTAGATATTCTATCTGAAATGGAACTCTGCCTCGAAAACTCACAGCTTTGAGTTAATTTTGCAAAATGTACTTCGGTTTGCTCGGTTTGTTGAGAACACAATGGTAAAGTTCGGCATGCGGTATTCTCCCCACAGTGTTTTGATGGAGTGAATCTACCTGAATATGCACTATTGAACGTTATGTTATGTAAAGCACAATACATTTTGGTTTTACTATTTTAACCTAATTGATATATTATAATATATTAAACTAATAATCCCTCCACGACCGCGGAAACGCCGGCGTGTCATTTAATAATAGATTTTTTAGAATTTTAATTAATTTCTTAGAATTTTACCTGGAGGTGTTGACTAGGTACTTATTCTCAATTATTTAAAAATTAGCCTCCTTTCTTTCTTTATATTTTTTTCTTATTTCAATATAATATCAATTCAGTCAGTGTAATTATTATATTAATACTATTGTTTTTTTAAATATCACTTTTTTATTTACATAAAACGTATTTTAATTTAAATACATATTTATTTTAAATAAGTGTCGGAAGATCTCTTAATTTACACTAGCGACTTACCCTCGCTTCGCTTGGGTGCGTCCCTAGGTACGTTTTAGTTGAGCGAAACCCTAATTCTTTTTCTTAAATAAAAGTAGCCTAAGTTACTTCTTATAACATCAGTCAGTTGCCAGTAAAAGTCCAGTCGAAATTGGTCCTTTCGTTTTGGAGATTAGCAGGAACAAACAGACAGACAAATAAAATTTTTAAAAAATGTGTATTTCTTATAAGTACGGTGTATAATTTCATATGCATTTAGTAAAAAGCTATTATTTGGACATTACAAACAGACACTTCAATTTTATTTATCTGTATATATAGAACAGTATCAAAAAGATGTTCTATAAAAACTCATTCAAAGCAGTTTAAGCATTCTGCATAATGTGCAATTAATACATAGACAGGCAATCGATGTATATCTCATTTGTGACATCCCTCAAGTATACGAGCACATAATGTTGATTTTAAATGTTTATTTCAAACATGGTTCTTAAAGTCGATTTATACAAATAAAATATGTTATAAATTTAGTTTAGTTTAAATGAGAATTTAACGTTTATGAAACTAAACGTTCGGTCGGTCTAGTATCTATAAAATAAAACCTAGATTTTTAAGAATTTATAGTTTCTGAAGACGTAATTACCCATTATAAAGCATAATGAATACAAAAAGCTTTATGTATTACTTTTATAAAATGAAATTTACAATATTAATCTGGCTACTTTTCCGTCTTGCTAACAAAACGAAAGGCGGGGGTGGCGAGCCGGCTAATTCGATATTATTGGGGGGCAAAATGTCGGAACGAATCTTGTAATATTCGCTAACAGAATCTACTTACATTTCTTATAAACGAAACACAGATTTATCAATTCTTAATACCTTTTTATAGAATGATTGAATTATTATGTACATAAATATTATTCTACTTCATTTAAATATTTGAATACTAAAGCTCAACAAAATAAGCAAAGTTATAAAAGCAATATTTTCATTACCATAATTTACATTTTGAAAATTAATACGTAATTAAAATTAAAATTTTAGTAATCGCATAACAACTTTTATTAATTTATTGTAAAATTCTTACTTGTTTTCCATTTTATTCTATTTTATTCTTTTTTAGTGTTCCGTACTTAAAGGGTCAATTAGAATAATATTACTCCATTCGTCCGACGTCTATACGTCTTATCTCGAATGGACTCTATCTTTTGAACCGTAATAGGCAGCCAGTTGGAATATTCACAGAATATTATAATCGTATAATATAATAAAAGTACACAACAAAAGAATTTGCTTAGCTTTTTGATTTCGTTGCCAATCTTAGTTAGTAGTTACTAGTTAGTAATCATAAAACTCTAACGGAAACATCAAACAATAAAAACTTTTCAAGTATGAATTGTAAATGTTGTCGTCTTTTACTGATGAATACATAACACAACGCTATATCTGGTGGTATGGAACCCTTGATGCAAAAAAGTGATTGGCACTTTTTTTCCTTTTTAAATTACCTACAATATCTCAAATATCTTATACGTTTTCATCACATACATCTGCGTAATTACAAATTCACTAGCATTGTTTCCACATAAATTGATTCAGTTTCGGCTTAATCTATTCAGCATCAGTCAGCGAGAGACAAATGGTCCCGTAATACGAAAACGCCGCTTCACGCGCTATTTCATCTGCAATGGTGTATGTAATGTTCAATCGTACGAACGTTCATCATACGTAGTTCTTAAAGCACTAATGATTTGGCACTATTATTAATTATTGTCATGAATGGGTCTAGGGAAATGAGCTATATATCAATTATTTTATACATATATGTATCTATATGAGTAGTATTGTCTGTGGTATTTTTGCCCATTGTGGCTATACAGCTATGAACGTGAACCAAACGCTTGCTTTTGACGCAGATTACAAAATACTACACTAGTAACGTTTAATTAATCGAAGCGTTCTGAATTTTGTTATGATCTTATAAGGTTGTTAGCTTTAATGTACTTACCTGAAAGGTACTCATATATTAAATATAAATATGTTGGGAAATTAACACACAGCACCATCTAGTCCCATGGTAAGCTACGAAGCTTATGTTATGGATACCAGATAGTTGATACACTACATATATATAACTTTAAATACATACATACTATACATATAAACACCCATGACTGGAGTACAAACATTCGTGCTCATCACGCAAATGAATGCCCCCAGCGGGATTCGAACCCGCAACCGCTGGCATAGCAAGTAGGGTTACTACACACTGAGTCAAACGTGTCGTGTCGTCAGATATATTATAAATGTTTTACTTTGTGCATATCGCTCTTTCTAATACTTCAAGTACCAACACCTTTTTTTAACGATAAGAAAAGCATTTACGTATACCTGCATACATACGGGTGGTTCTGTGGGACTCACCGACTAGAAAATCCAATACTACCTACTAAAACCCAACGGAACCTCCCCGGTCGTAATAGAGCGTCGCAGGTTTCGCACCTGGTTGGATTACTGATCAATAACTTCCTTTAATATTTATCTAATAAGTAGTAATTTAATGCAATAAAATGCACTTTTTAAAGTTCATATGTTCATTATATTTAACTCGTTAACACAAATAGTTCCACGTTAACCTGTACGAGTCTTTATTTCTATTAATAACATTAACTTATATTGCACTATCCAATTTTCGTTCCTACAAATCGTTTTACTAAAGGTTGCCTGTAAGAGATTGCTCGTAGCAAAAAGAAAGGCATGTAAAGCCTTGTGTATCGATTCATGTAATATCTACTATACCCTTATACTAACCCTATATTTTTTGTGTGTGCCATATTATATTTTTTATCTATTTTATATCTTTATATATATAATTCTTCTGTGAGTGTGTATGTCACTGAACTTCTCTCAAACGACTGGACCGATTTTGATGAAATTTTTTGTGTGTGTTCAAGGGGATCTGGGAATGGTTTAAATTCACAATTTGAATAATAATTATCATCAAAAAAATTATTAAAAAAAGTTTGAAATTTTCAAATTAAAGACGTGTAGACAGGACAACGTCTGTCGGGTCCGCTAGTACTCGTATAATACCTTTACTTTATAAACGTAATTGACCAATATAGAGGTAATGATTTTAAAAATAGAAGCCTGGTCTAAGGCACCTGAGGGCGAAAATAAATTGCAAATTCTATTTTTTTCTTAACCGTCTTACGCCCCCTTTCACCCTCTGCATAGATTTATTCGCAAAATTTCTTCTGTGCAAGGATCTCAAATGTTCTATAAGATAAATGGTTTCCGCTTGAAAAACATGAAAAGTGGTGAGCATTTAGGAGGTTTGCATGCTTGCCATGGTTTTCTAGCGATAATATAAGTTATGATATCGTTATAGTTTATATAAAGTAAAATAAATTTGTTTCTTTCATAATTTTTAGTTCATTGGAAATAAAGAAAAAACCTTAACAAAACCTTTTATATTACGTACATACATATATGTAAAAAAATAAGTGTGGCCGGTTAGTTTATATCTAAAACTGGTGTGATTGATGAACGATGGTCTTTACAGTTTTCTATACATTAGATGGACTAGACTAGACTGCTTGTAGATATACGATTCTACAGTAATTTATTCCAGTAAAGCTTAAAGAAACTCCTACCTCAATAGTTGTCTTCCCAGAGGCTTGCCATTTCATAAGATGTTCACCCTTGAGGGACCAGCCAGGGGCATAGCTTATCAAACTCCCCGGAGCCCCTGCTTTGTTTTCTGAAGCCACATCACTTTCGGCCTTTTTCTTAGGGCTCGTCTGAAGTCGGAAAAAGCTACGACCGTGAATCTTACAACTTTTCGAGGGGGAAAAGAAAAATGAACTCTTTTTAGGAGATTTTTCTTGGGTTTCGCTTGATTTCGATGTATTCGGTTCTTCAGAGGCATTTTGAACGCTTTCTAAGTTTTCTGGAGCACTAGAGCTGGGTTTTGGTCCTGAATTTTCATCGGCAACAAATAATAGTGTCCGTTGTACGAAGGGAGTTGCTTTGTTGTAAAACTCGTAAGGCTCGGGGATTTTAAAACTAGTTGGTATAGTTGTGCGATGCGATTTCATGAATCTTCGCTCCATGTATTTACTTTTATCACACTAAGTTCATATATTTATTAAAATGTTTGAGTTTCTTTATTTGAAATAATGCTATTCTATGACAAAATATAAATTACATCGATTAACCATACAATATAATATTTAAATAGATAGAATATGATTTACATTAATATACAATAAAATAAATACAATATATACACAACATATAACTAAGTATCCCAATATAAAAAGGGCGAGTTTTAAGATAAGACTTTGTAAATAAATTAAATAAATATGTGTAGCTTTATTCCATTTCTTAATTTTAATTATTTTTATGTTATAATTAAATATTTAAAAATATATAATGTAAGTTAATTCAAGTTCAATTTAGTTTCGATTCCAGTTATTCTGTTTGGCAAGTAAAAAAAAGCCTTACTCACGGGTTGCAATTTTCACGCGGAGGCCGATCGATCGGTGTGCGTGGATAAACATTGTACCCTTATCTCAAAAGTACAAATTACTAAAAAGATCTTTATTACGAAGTATAAAAGTTCATTTTTAAGTAAGATATTTGTAGATGTAACTTTGAAAAACTCTTTCAGCGAGCTTACAGGGTATAAACACGCCTTACACACTGAATAGCACTCATCAAAGAATTTGCTACTATTTATTGTTAGCTTACATTTAAGAATAATTGAGTAGAAAATTGAAAATAATGAAACGTAAAAAAATATAAAAACCCCTTGCATTTTGTAAATATTCCTCTCAATTACTTAAGAATTTGAATATCACCATAAAAAACCACATTGTTTAGTAACTGTCATGATTGAGACTCGTTTTGGAGGATTGGAGCAATTAAGAGTTTTACTATCGACCTGATCATCAGTTCAGCTCAATAGTATTGTCACGACTTCCCTTACAAAGTTTTAAATCAATATGACATGTACATTGTACAAATAGACTAAAATCGGGTTATGTTTTTTACTAATTTTTAAATATCTTTACTTAAACTTAGCTCAAATATTTAGTGCAAAAATATAGCATTGTTAATTTATTTTTAATTATTAATTTCAAATTACCTTTACTTCAAAGTTGGATAGCTCCCCTTCTATTTATTAGCACGCACCCAACTTTACAGCAATTTAACTGTCATCTTACTTCGCTACGAAGTATCCCTTTAAAAAAATGGTAATCAAATAATAGAAAGGTTAGCTTTTTTTGAAGAGAAACTAATGTAATATAAATTGTGTTATGTTAAGAATGACAAAGATATAGATAAATCAAATTAAAAAATTACATATTTTCTTCAAAGAAGGTAAAATAATAAATGATAATTGAATCATAAATAAATTAGTATTAAAAAAACATTTTTAAAAACAAGTTTTTATACCATATAAGTTTGTAATATAATAAATGGGTTTAATTTTATTTAAGGTTGAATTTTTATTTTTTAGGTATATATATTCCTATTTTTCTCAGCAAACCCGTTCATTTGATATCCATATCATGGTGATTAGGGGACATAAAAAACATAGTCCGCCATCGTTGGGAGTCAGTCATGTTGGATTTAGAATGATATCACTTATCTGACCATGCATTGTCATCTAAACAAAACGTGTATGCAAAATTTCAGCTCAATCGGTTGAGGATAACTGGTTTAAAAATCAGTTGCAAGATTTGACCCGAACAAACAAACATACAAACATTGCAAGTTAAATAAAAGCATGTAAAAACACAACCACATTAAACTTATTCGAGTTATTTTTTTTATTACATGTCAGATTTTCTGTGTAGATGGGCCGTGTTTTATCTGTAAGGGTGCAGGCGGTCAATCCTACGTAACAATATTATTGCTATCATAAATACAAACGGAGGTCCTTTTGCTAAAGTTCCACCACCATTTTGTATATGGCACGATTTGAAATTATATTACTGTCCGTCAATTATTACTTTATCGCCAGTATAAAACTAGCTGTTCAATTAAGTCGTAAAAACATTATGCAAATATTCATCTTTGATAAATCTCATCAATATTAAAGGAGAAGAATAATGTAATTTTGCGATATTTTCAGTTTTGTATTTGAAAAATACTTCTCTATCTTGAATACTCGTTAATAATGAGTAAATAAATTTTGTCTATGTAAATAGAAACAACTTCAGGTACATTAAACCAGTCATTTGATATTCTCAGTCAGCTCCTTCCCTTCGCCTTTGTAAATAGCTTCTCGATAGGGGAACTTATTACATTTCGATGACATGACGAATTGGAGATGACATATAGGAACCTGTAGAATTGACCGCTAGAAGGGGGAAAAGAAAACCATTTTCCCTTTACTTATAAAAAGATACTTTGATACGCGCATATGTCCAATATGGCACGTTTGATCTTCATTTTGATAACTTATAGTAAGTACATTTTCAAACATACATACATTAGTACTTTACATATATTAAATATTCTATTTAAGCATTAGTATCCATTACCGCGACAACTCTACCCTTTCCGAGTATTTCAGATCGTATTTTACAATCAATCGAGCATGTTCTGTTAAGGAACTCAGTGATCTTTCTCTGTCATTTCAGTTCAACGAACCTGTTTTGTATCGTTGGTAGATGTCAACAGTGAAAAAAGGTAATGCTTCTATTACTACTGATTCAAAAATAGCCGCGAACCCCATACGAGTGTGAACTTGACAATCTACCCACGTGTTATTTTTACAGCTATTTACTAACTATTGTATTCGGAAATAAACAGGAAATAACACGCGATGAAATCCCTTTGATGGCTTCCTAAATTTGAAAGGCATTCTAAATATCCAAATTAATGTTAGGCTAGGAAGTTAATTAGTGGAACTGATATGCTAATATTTATAACATTAAAGGACTATATACATCTCTTTATAACAGAGATGATCAAAAGAAGTTTTAAACTATTTTGTACTCGATTAATCAATTATATTTAACAGAAGTTTAATTACAGTGCACATACTAAAAGATATTTATCACATATTCAAAGTATAAATCATAAGAAGAGTTGATTATACAATATAACGGTAACCCGCGTAGTGACACGGCAAGTTTAATTAAGATGTCGCGTCAAGAACCGAATTATGTTTCTGAACCCAAGGGAACCCTTTTTGCTCCCAAATAACTTTCATAGACTCCCAACACATTTAACGATTATCGTCCTTATTCCTTAAGAAGTAAGCATGTAAACAGACTATCACGTCTCTAGGTAGAGTCAATGCGGTAGGTTTGGTCCAATACGACTTATTGTCTGACGGAGTTCACTGGGTAAGTAGGATCAACATAATTTAAATAGGATTTATTAAACTAATTATTAGAATTTGTAAGAAGTAAATAGCAGGTATTAAGATGGAAGCTATTTTATAGGATAGTTTAATATGTTTTTAAAGACCTAATAATAACGTAGTCTAATCTAAGAAATTGCTTGAAATTGATATTTCATATTCGTATATTTTATTTGACAGTTTAATTAACGTAACTTTATACCTTTTCATTTGCTTTTAATCAAACTAGAGGAAGACGATATACTTTACACGTTTCTTGAGTATATTTCACCCAAGCCCTCTATTCTATTGTCAGATCAAGTTAAATTATTTTAATAAGAAATTATAAAAATAGAAATCTAAGTACGCAATATCTGCAATGTAAATATTCAAAAATTCTCGTATTAAAAAAACTTTTATTAATTTTACACTTAAGATAGCCTTGCTCTTCTATCATAAGCAAATACGAAATAAACAGATAACCCCGTTTACTAAAAAAAGTAAAAACTTGTTATGTTACAAATTGACCGATAAAAAAATTTAAACCTCATGTTACCTTATAAATCTTTACGTATGCAATTATGCATGCTAAGCATTATTTCAAATCAACACCTCATTAAAATGCAAATAGCCCTTTGCTGGACGTAGGGCAATTACCAGATTATTTAGCACAAAGTGGGGATCAGTTAGTGAGCTTAGTATATCTGACGTGTGAAATGTGGTAGGGCTTTATCTGATTGGTACATTTGTAATGTTAATTTTATATGTTCTTTAAAGGCTTATGATCATATTAATGGATAAAAAAATGATCTACGAGTATATTACGTATTGGCTTGCACCGTATTTTTTTTATTTAAATCCGTCTAATGATTCTATATAGCCTAAATCTAACTTAAGTAGTATACTTTGAGTTTTAAGAATTGATTATAAAAGGACCATGTATGTACAATTCTATCTGCCCATATCTATTTGTACATGTGTATTTATAAGTCGGACCCAATCATGGACATGAAGCAAAGGTTGAAGCATATAAATAACCACATATGTATCATAAAAAATAAAAGAAATGTATTTTAGTATAATATTAAAGATAAAATAAAATTTAAAATTTTGTATGGCAAATTATAAGTCCTCGTGAATTTTCAAGTATGAGTAACATACTAACATTTTACCTAACCGTTTGAGCCCAAGAATAAATATTTGAGGTATGAAGTATCCCCTGTTTGTTACTTTTCCAAAAAACAATAACGAAAATCCCTTCTAAATTTCTTATTACCTACCGTAGGGATCCTTCCTCCACGCTAATTCCATTCGTATCGATATTTTTTTATCAAATGATAAACTTCATTTGCTTTATAAGCCTAAGTCATAATTTTTAGAAGTCCAATACACGCCTGGATAGACATTATTATCTTATATACGTCATATTATTTTTTATTCTTCTTTCTTATCTATAGATATAAGTACATAAGCTTGTTCTTTTTAAAATTGGTATCGATTATTGAATATTATTTCATTTCATATTCAAGCACAGATATCTTTATCACGACTTAATGTCTAGTTGTTGGAATATAATCTAGTAAAAACTTCTATAACCGATTTATTTGCACGACGTTTATCCATTGTTTAAAATATATTAGCGTTGATAATAATTGTTATTCACTCAACGGATCGGTCATGGCCGCCCAAGAAGTAAATTATTATAATACTTCCTGTTTATGATGATATTATAAATTCTATAAGACATTTTTA